TCCTTTTTGAAGACTTTTCAAACAATTTTTTTTTTCTCTATTATTTTTTCTTTATTCTTTCTCCTTTTTCCTTTGTTTGTTGTTCATTCTGTCTGTTTTCCTTTCTGTCTGTCTGTTTTCCTTTCTGTCTGTCTGTCTCTCCTTCCTTCCTTTCTGTCTGCCTGTCGTTCCGGTTCATCTGTCTTTCATTAGTCATAATTGGTATGTTCATTTGTTAAATTGTAATACATTTTTGTTGTATGTAAGCAAGCACTTTCATATTCTCATTTCTGGTATCTTGTCACAAAAGGTGTCGGTTTGTTTTTTTTGTTTAATTAACATTGAGCATTTACTACAGACAGTCATGTAAAAGTTAACTACAAAATAATTTTACAAACATGTAATTGAACCCCGACATACACAGCCTTGTGTCCTTAAATGTTATCATCAAAATTAAAAATTTGATTTTTTTCTTTGATTTATTTGTACTTTTTAAAATCTGTATTTCCTTCTGTAATTAATACTTTTAAAATTGTTTACTTTGACATTTGTTTTTCATAATGTGCCAATAATGTTTTCATTGAATGAAATCTCATAACATCCTTCATTTGAATTATTACTCAGCTTATCATTTACAACTTGTGTTTTTTCTTCTGTCAGGTTTGATTAGAAAGAATGGATGTTTTTGTTCTTAAAACATTTGTAGACAATGCAATGTAATGACAGTATTTCACCTTCTAGTTATTTATCATTTTGAACTCCTCTCTCTCTCTATATATATATATATATATATATATATATATATATATATATATATATATATATATTAGGCTTGTTCCATTTGAAATTTATTTAAACAAAAAAAAGAACAAATTCTTTTAAAATGGATAAGTACATAGCTTAACAGTTAGCTGAATTTTGGGTCTGAAATGTTCATGATATAAAGTTAAATTTATGTGGTTAATATTCACTACTGAATTAAGTGCATTGGCAAAGATAGAAATTATATTAAAATATTTATGTAAAATGAATGCTTTCTTTTAGCATTGGGTTTATTGATAGAGAAGCATTAGGTTAAATGCATTGACAAAAAGTGTTGAAATTTTTCTTACATAAATGCTGTTTTTCTCTCTTCATTAATCTACAGAGTTATTGATATATCTCTGTATATTATCACAGCATGATGTGTTTTATATTGAAGTTCCAATTTTATGATTAGAATTCATGTCCTAGCAACATGTTATATATATATATATATATATATATATATATATAGTCATCCACAGACAAGACACTGTTTCACTGTATCACAGCTCATCAATGTGGCTAGACATCCAGTTGCCTCTAGCTAGGACCGAAACCTAATTGAATTGGTGTCAGTCAGGGATTCTACCATTAAGCCGTTGGCTCATGGCAGGATGAAGGTGAATTTAAGCATATTTATTTTTAGATAAACACACAGTGACTGAGATATATATATATATATATATATATATATATATATATATATATATATATATATATATGTGTTTTTGAAAACAGACCACTTTATACCATTATAATAATTTATTTCACCAGAGCCCTTTTAAAGGACGCCAGATCATCAGATAGCTCTTCCAAATATCCGGTGCCCTTTAAAAGGGCTCTGGTGAAATAAATTATTATAATGGTACCTTAAAGTGGTCTGTTTTTCTTTAAAATATTGGCTCTGGATTTACATTGAGCTCTCAGGATTTCATCCCCTTTGGGATTACCCATACGGATTACCAAATTTTTCATAATTTAAATATTAATCTTTTAAAAACATTTTTTGCATAGAGTATACCATTTGATAAATTTTAAGAAATATGAAGTAAATTGCTTAAAGTTTATATATATATATATATATATATATATATATATATATATATATATATATATATATATATATATATATATATATAATCTCAAGGGCTTGCAGCCATATGTTGAAACACCAGTTCCTATGTGATCACCGAAGTTAAGCAATGTCAAGCCTGGTCAGTACCTAGATGGGTGACCGCTTGGGAAGACCAGTTGTTGTAAGCTTAGATGTGTGGATAGTGTAATGGATAATGGCTTGGAATTGTTAATCAGAGAGCCGAATTTCATTTGGGTTTGTTATATTCACTTGTGCATAAATACTCTCCCCCCTCTCCAGCTGTGAGTTAATTAGTAAAATATCTCCCAAAAAAAGAAAAAAAATTCTTAAAATCTATAAATATTGTCTGATTTTAAATAACTTGCAAAGGGATGATAAACCATAAAAAATATATTAATATATGATCAAGACAAAACCAAGTGGAAATATTCCTCAGCTATTGGTTTCTTGGATTGATCCTATAGTTGGTATCCGTTTATCTTGTGAGCACCCTGTTTAGTTAAAATTCAGTCCCTTGGTGATGACATTAGAGTGACCTCTCCATGGTGCAAGCCTGGGTGATTTTTATATATATATATATATATGGAGGTCATGCACTGCCCAGACTACATGGCCCCCAGAAAGCTCCAAAGGAATACAAAGCATTATATTTGAGGTTGGCTTGCCTTCAGGAATTGTCAGTGTTGACAGCCAACAATGTTTGGTTTCTCCACTCTGGTTTTCTGTCTGAATTTACTTCCATAGCCTTTTCCATATTTGGTTGGATATAACTGCAAGGCTGCCGAGATTTAAAATCGGGGTTTTTCTTTTCTCTAGATGGACTGCCTCCGTGGGCTGCCAAGCTCCGTCTACCTGAAGCAGCTGGTTGTGAGGCACCTGTTGTCTGTCTTCACCCATTCTCTGGCTTAGAGCAGGACTTAGTTGTCAGAGGCTATTTGAGATGCATGCTATGGAAGCATTTCATAGACAATGGGAGGAGGGGGTTGATCTTGATGATGAGAAATATAGTAATATTGATGTAATAGCAAGTAAAAAAAATAAAAATAAACCCTTAGAAATCACCTCCTGCAAATTCCTCAGGTACTTTTGGAATTCTTAGGTTGGAGAGAAGAGATCTGAGAGAACATTGTGCATTTATTGGCCTGAAGAAAATCTGGAAAAATCATCAAAACCAGATCTCTTTTAACACACACAATTAATACAAATGTAAAATTTGTCATTTAGCTGATTGATGTTACATGCAGCATCCTAACTCCAGAGTTTTGTCAATGGACCATCCAGAAATTACTCTGTTCACTCATCAGGGGCTATTAGCAATTGACATTGCTATAAACATTATTTTTAGTGGGTAGACATATTTGAATTGCTATCTCTGCTTTATATATATATATATATATATATATATATATTAAATGGTGAAATTAATAACAAATGGCCTAGATTGAGAAGTCCTAAAGAAAGATTGTGTCTGACAGAAATCGAACCTGTATCAACTTTTTTTTCTATAGTCAAAATGTGCCTTTATCAGTTTGTCCATGGAGACTGACCTATTTACGGCATACACATTTCTTGTTAGGGCTTCTACGAATCTATATCTACTAGTTTCAGTTTCATACTCAAAACATAAACAACAGTAATTTTACAACAGTTGTAATAAGAAGTAATGCCAGTTTAAAAAAAAAAAAAATCCATTCAAAAATATATATTCCACCCATGGGTAATTTGTTCTTATTTGTATATATATCTTATTGCATTGGTTTACATCAAAATTGATTGGTGGAAAATATTTTTAAAATAAGAATTTTTTTTTTTTTCTTAATATAAAATAATTTTTTAGCTGTATACCTTAAGTTTTCCTTCTTTTCTCAATGTATCTTCATATAATCATATGTGATTAAATTTTGGATTAGAATCTGACAGAATGGTAAATATGTAAGATAATATGGAAAAAAGCATCTATTTTGACATGTTTTGCCTATAAATCAACATTATCAGAAAAGTTAAAAACCTTTTCCTGATGATACTGACTAATTCGGTGAAACATTTTTTTTAAATTGTCTTGTCTATTTGCCAAAATCAAAGAATCTAAAATGAAGTTTCACATGCTATTATTAACCTATGTATTGTGAACTTTTGCCAGATTTTATCTGGACTATTTACCAAATTATAAACAGGTAATGAACAAACAAGGTTCATTGACCATTTATAATTAAGCCCACTTACATTAAAAAAAAAAAAATCACATACTATATGACACAGTAGGTTTTTGAGGTGACTATGTTGAGTCCTTTGTGACATTTCTTAGGTCAGTGTGTTACTTGACCTTGCCCATTATCGTGAAAGAAAGGGTGTTTGCAGCTGTATAGCATGAAACACCACTTTCCATATGATCACCAAAGTTAAGCAATGTTGAGCCTGGTCAGTATTTAGATGAGTGGCTGCTTGGGAATACCAAGTGCTGTAAACTTGGGTGTGCGAGTGGTATAATGGATAATGGCTTGGAATTGTTAAAAAGAGAGCCAAATTCCAGTTTCCAATGTCGAGTTTATTATAGTCACTTATGTTCATTTACCCTTGGGAAAGGTATGAATCCACCTCTTCTTTTCCTCCCACCTATGGGTTAAATAAATCATTATCTAAAAAAAAAAAAAGAAAAAATATCTTATCTAAAAATATTGTCCAGATTTAAATAACCTGGAAAGTGTTGATAAGTCATAAATTAATCAACGGAAGCAAAAAAACTTTTACAAGGCTTTATTCATCTGCTGTAGTCAGAAGGCATGGTGGAGTAATGGATAGCGGCTTGGATTGAGGAATCAGAGAGCTGAGTTCAAATTTCAGTTGAATCCATTACATTCACTTACATACTAATACCCTTGGGAAAGGTATGAATCCTCTTCTCCCCCCAGCTATGGGTAAATAGCAGGACAGACCAGGTTCTATTGCCTTGGATGGCAACTGACCTACCGCAGAATGAAATGACAAACTACTGCAGGAAAAAAAATCTGCCTTGTCAGTCATGTATCAAAAGATACATGATCGCCTAAGCATGGATCACGCATGGCACATAACTGACTGATAGAAGAGTCGACTCAAAGGGGAATAACTCTTGCTTTCCAACTGTACATTCACACAACCATTACTCTCTTTTATAACAAGGGTTTTTTTGTTTTGTTTTTTTTAATCAATTCACCCCCAATCAAGACAATAATACCACTAAAATGAAAGGCGCTACTGGGAGTGAAAGTGAAAGACTTTAAAAGGAACTGAAAACCCAATCCTAAACAGTTAATGTAATTCTCACCCCAGGCATATACATTTACATCCATTTCCTCTCCAACTAATAGATTATATTGAGTTACATGGTACCAGTAGAGTAATCCCTATCCTGATCTATTGAAAGAGGAGGTGATTCATGCCTTTTCCAAAATTTCTTTTAGCTAACACTAAAACATTATTAGCCTATTATAACATGTACCTGATCAAGAGTAAATTTAAAGAGTCGTTCAATAATTTTATTATACTCATTATTACCTGAAACTTTCTTGAAACTTATCTATGATTGTCTCTATAATCTGTCTTGGTTAATGCCACCTAATTTGTTTTTAATCAAATTCATAAAGTTCAGAATACAAACACTAAGGTATAACAATAATACAATTTATTTGATGATATGAGATTTCTTTAATGCTAAAAATACACCATCCTGGGTATGATGATTAAACTACATCCATGTCTTGTGTAAGACGATAAACCACGTCCAACAGCAAGGCCTCTGATCAGGAGGTTTTGAGGAGTGTGGAACCACCTCTTAATTGTTGGTGTTCCCAGGTCCACCCTGACCTGGGGTGGTAGCCTCCGTTAGGGTCCTAGGGGTCAAAACACAATGAAAATGTAAAAATAGGTTTAATACCAGAAATAATTTGTAAAAAAAAATATTACCAGCTATACATTATTTTGTAGGAAAGAAAAAAATTACCACCAATAAAAATTGTCAGCATTAAATAGCGCATTGTGGTTGATATGCCATAAAACAAAACAAACTAAAAACATACAACTCTTTTAATTTTGTTTCAGTTTTCAATCTGTTTTGAGAAAAAGAGCTTTTTTATTGTTGGATTTTAGACCATCAGGTTTATGATTCATTAAACTGAAGTCCCTAACAAACCTTGGTTATTTTGACTGACTTAAAGATAAATACAATTTTATTATCTTTTTGGGTGAGTGCTGTTTATAAAAATTGGAGGAAATATCCAATTGTTTTATCTTTGAGTTGATCACTGTATTGAACTATAGTCTCTCTAGATTTGAATAAGCGCTCTAACCACTTAACTCTTTCTTAATCAAATAGATCTTATGCTGCAATAATGAGCTAGTTATTGATTAGCAAAGGTCAAGCAACTTTTTCAATGATTTCTGAATATTAATCCTATGTCTTAAGCTATAATCTGCCTCAGCTTTGTCTGCTGTCTTTTTAACCTTATCTGACTAAAAAAGAGAAAAACAAAAATATGTTGCATTTAATTTCATGTCATTGTTTTTTTTTTGTTTTTTTTTTCCTTATTCATTAATGGAAATTGTATCAAAGCTTAGAATTTCTGATGATTGAAAATTAATGCTAGAATTGGATTTTGGACTGAAGAATTTTAGATTTCCTTCTCTTTTTCTTCTCAGACCAACTATTCATTGCTTTTGCACCCTCCCAACTATGACTACTGATCGATTATATTTAAATTTAGGCCTTCTTTGTTTCAGCTTTTCTTTTCTTTTTTTTTTTCCCTTTCTGATGGAAAGAAGTGTTCATTTGTTGCTCTTAAAGTTTAGCTTAGCCAACATTGATATGATAACGTCTTGGTGTCAACATTTTATGGTTGGTCACACATTTTTGTTATTCCTTTCATGTTTATTTTGATCTTAGTTTTGGTACAGAATATCTTGATGACACTGCTAAGCTCATTTTGGACTGGCTTCATTCTTCCTCCTTTTGAATCAAGAAAAAGAAGCACCTTAGTTTTGTAGCTTTTATATCACCTTACTAGGGTTGTTATACTTCCCTGTTTAAAAAGAACAGTATATTCCTTTGTTTTCTCCTCTGTTTATTTCTAGTATTTTCAACTTGCACTATTTAGGTTCATTTTTCACTATATACTATTTCACTTCAAAATGCTACATACATACATAAGCAAAGTTAATTTTATATGGCTAACTTTTTTCTTTTTAAAAATGAAAAAAAGTTGAACAACCAGTTCTATCAGACACCTGGAGAAGGCTGAGGAGTATAATGGCCAAAATATTGTGACTATAACAGCCAAAATGAGGACATTAGTTTAAATAAATCAGTGTATACAAATGAGAATTTCTCATCTCAGAAAGAGCAGAAATGTGACTGACTATAATAACCAAAATGAAGGTAACAGTTTGAATAAATCAATATATAATAATTCTTTGTCTAAAAGATTCAAAGAAAAAAATGAAAATTCTGATTAGGCCCCATACTTCATAAAAGGAATTTGATTGGAAACTACTCATACCAATTTCAGCAACATTTATTTAACTATTTCTGTACACCGTAAGAAATAATAAAGATGAAATTTTGTAGGTTGTGGGTGGTACTTGGCCTAATTTCAGTACAGTGAAACCTTGGTTCTTGAATTTAATTCATTCCCAGAAGTCGTTCAAAGACTGAACCAATTTTTCTATAAGAATTAATCTTCTGCTTTGATCACGTCATTGTTCTTCAGTATTGATTGATTTTGGCATTGAATATTTCAACGCTAGATCACACATATTCCACTTTCTAGTTTCACTATTATATTCTTTTTCACTTCAATTGTGGCTCTCCCTACTTTCCCCTTAGGTTTGCTGTTATCATTAACTTTCTTTGGAGCCATTAAGGTGTACAACAAAATGCACACTGATTGTGAATGTGCATAGTGTTAACAGAAGCCAATGAGTAACTGATGCATCTGTGGGTTCGGGGCTTCCTCAGTTTAATTCATGTTCATTTTGAATGACATTTTCATTTGATAATCAAATTTCTGTTCAAAAACTGTGACACATCTTTATTGAAAAATTCATTTTAGAACCGATTTGTTGGAGGTAAAAGTTGACCGAGAACTCAAGTCAGACATACAATACTAGAAGTTTTTCTGATAACATTCTATACATGTGTTGGATGAAATCACTTGTAGTTTTTATTAAAATGATCTAAAGACGAGCATGTCAGTATTTTTCTTTTTTTTTTTTTCTATTATTGAGACTTTTACTCTCTATAGAGATATAAAACATACTCTTTTGAAACTGATTTCAAGGTTCCAGAAGATTGTTTAAAAAAAAACAACAAAATTGTGTGCTAAAATTATTAGCATCAAGAGTTTCTTAATGAAAAGTATATTTTATGTGATTTGGCTTAAAGTGCTGTCAAGATGATCAGTTCTTCTATTTCTTGTATTTTTATTGCATTTTCTAAATAGTTTTTTTGTAGGAAGAAAAGCAAATAACTCTACTGATGGGCTAATACATTTGAATGTACCTTAGTAAATGAAGCTCTAACCTGGCAGAATCTCATACACTTTTTTTTCTCTTCCTCTAAATAAATGTGTATTGTTCTTGACCATATTCAAAGACCACTAGTGGACAATAGGTAGAATCCTTTTCATCATTCTATATAACCATCATCAGGTCTTCCCTCCTAATTCCCATGTCCTTGCTGAGGACATCAGGGAATGTTAGTTTCTTACTTCTCCTGCCATGGGAGTTGAGGTCTTCAGAGGTCTGATTCTCTTGGCATTCTCTAGGCAGTCGACAGGACATAAGTTGCCATATGTCATCTCTCTGGTAGGATATTTTCTCCAGGAAAGATTTTTAGTTCACCATAGAAGTCTTGTGTAGATGCCATCTAATCCTTTCTCAAGTTTGGTTGACCTTATCTATGTTTCAAAGCCATACATGTAATACATTTCTGCCTTGCCTGATTATTAAGTTATGATTAATGATCTTCAATTACTTATCACCTTAAACTGGTTGAACTACTCATATTATCCTGAATGTTTAGCTAAAACATATGAATCTTACAATAACTTGTGTATTATTTGCTAAAGTCTTTTAAAAGACATGGTATGGTTGCTGAACACCTGCTATACATGCCTTGATTGCATGCCAATGTTTGAGTCTCTGAAAGATCTTCAGTCTATTCTGTGAGGTTGTCAACCCAATTTTTCTCTACTTCTTTTGGCTATTGTGGTACCTTGTAGAATGGTAGTGAAAAGATATCTATGGATATCTTGTATTGTAATTATTACAAAATGGAAATTGGTTAGAGTTTTCTAAACTTTTTGCATTGATATTTCTTCTTTTTTTTTTTTTTTTTTTTTTTTTTCTTTTAAATTGTAACTCAAATTTTGTTAGATAAATTAATAATGAATAATTTATCTAATAATTATAAAAAAAAAACAAGCATAATTATTTAAAATGTTACAATCAAAAGTTTGGAACACTGTATTAGTTTCCTTTCTGAACACTTTCATTCTCTAGAAAACTATTTTAAGAGTAATAAATTTCTGTTCAAGCTTCATAAGAGAATAAATATTGAAAGAACCTCTGTCAATTTCTGGGATGATATCTCCATTATTTACATTCAGACTAACATCCTCATCATTGTTATTATAACAATGTTTTAGCTATTGTGCTCTCTTGACTTCTGGACAAAAGCCAATGTGAATAACCTTCAAGGAATTTTGAGCTGGGCCATTTATTTAATCTATCAGCATAGATTGTTCTTGTTTTGCTGTCCACCTCTAGGGATATCTTGTATTGTTTTTTGTTAGTTATTGCTAGCCCTGTTTCCTCTAACTGTATACTACCCAACCCAGGGATTGAACTCATAATTCCTGTGCCACCAAATTCACAAACCAATGCTTTAATATGCTCAGCTATCCTCTTATGGGATAATCCTGAACCTGTTGACTGCTTTCTACCTTTTAATGTTTTACTTTTTATTGCATATGTTGATAAAATAAAGAACAAATAGGAAACGTTTATCAATCTAACATGTTTCACTTTTATTAAAGCTTCATCAGAGAATGAGATATGGAGAAAAAGAAATTCTGCTATTTTTACTGTTTTGTTTGATTTTCATCAGTTAATTATGCTTTGTGTGCATTTGATTTGTTAAACATTAGTATAATTTATGGTATTCTGAATTTAAGGAGAGATGACATGTTTATTTGAAGTTCCAAGGAATTAACAGATTCCAAGCTTAACTGAAAAACTGTAAATATTGCTTTATGTATACAAGTGTATAATAATTCAAGTTTGTCTATGTGTAATTAAGATGATAATCTATATTCGTAAGTGTGTATGTGTATATCTAATAGCCATTGTTTTCTGTTTTTTGCATGTTCATTTGAGAATTGTTTTTATGTACATACCATTTGTTTTTGATAAACATACATTAGATTCTTTAAAAATGGATTCAATAAAGGTTGATGTCATATAATGTTTTTGACTTGTGTTTATAGTTGGTAATATAGTTATTATTAATCCCTCAAGTACTTTCAATGTAAAGAATTAAGTTCTATTTTAATTAGGGTAGCATTTGTAAAATCAAAGTCATGGTCAGTTTTGTTCCTGTGTATTAAAATAGTTTGAATAGTTGTTTAAACATAGATCTCTTATGTTTGTAGATTTCTTGATGTCTGTCAGATTTTAATTTATATTTGATCCTAACACACATGTTGATATAATTTTCTTTGGATTTTACAAGGAAAATACATGCCACTGGCAAGTTGCAGTTTGAAATCTTTTTATCTCTTGTTAGTAAGTTGTAGGCTTCAAATGTCATTAACTAAATTTGAACTTCCAAACATTTAATCATGGTGCCATCAGCTAGAAACTTTACTTTTTAGACATTATACAGTGTGATGATTTTGTTTTTAAACACAGCTGAGAAAATATAAATTTGTATTCATTGTGAGTCTCTTTTCAGAGTTCAGGTAAAAATTGAAAGTACAAACTGTTTGAAATCTTTTCAAAAGATTTACTCATGTTTTTACATTAATTACTTTCACTTTCTCTAAAAAATGATTACTTTACCAATTTTTTTCTTATCATTGGTCCCATCCACAAGACTTGGAATACATCTTATTTTTATTTTAAAACTTGTAAAAATTTCAAAGTTTTTATAGGAAGTGAAAGATAAGGTTTCCTCTCTGAAAAATTCTTAAAATAATGGCTTTGAAACTAAATAGTTTTCTTTCTTCTCTATTTGAATTGGTTAGCATTTGTTTGATTGTTATATATTATTAACCCTGAGTATAAAAATTAATTTTACCATATTAATCAATTCTTTCTTTTTACATCAATTTTGTATAATCCCAGAATGAATGTTTTTTTTTTTGTTTTTTTTTTTTAACACAAATATTGTCTCTTTAATGTTCCGTTTGTCTACATCAGTCTCTGTTACTTTCTTCTTTATTCAATCTAGTCATTTGTAGAATGCTACCAGTTGAGAATATTAGTGATGTTTGATTATCTTTGAAAATTCTGCTCAAATCAGCCATTAGTAACTTTTTATTTTTTTATTTTTTTTTTTACATATAAAATCATCTCTATTAATTCTGTATCAAGACTGCAAAAAAGACATCGAACAAATTTTATTAGAGTATTTTAACAGTATTGTACTAACTTGGAGAATAAAGATAATCCGAGTTCAATCAGGTGACCAGTTCTGGAGTAATTTTTCCTTAAGTATAAATTTAAAAAAAAATAAATAAATAAAAATCCAGACCTATTTGCTGCTAATTACAAAGATATTTCCCCAAGTTTCCTTAAGAGGAATAAGCAGGGAAGGATGCATAACCCATCTACACTCAACTCCTGTGGCAAAACTTCTAATAATCATAAATAGCATTTATGAATACTTATAAATCCTATAAATAAGTTATTTGATATTGAACAGATATTGCAAAAAGCAGCAATTAAGTGACTTAAAAAAAAATCTTTGCAATTCATACTTTCTTGAAAAGGACACTTCTACATTAAGATTACATCTCCTGATCATAAACCTGAAAATATTTATCTTTTTTTAATAATGCTCAAGTTTTAAATGATTCTTTTCTTATTTTATCCTAACCATCTTTCAGTTTGTAAGCCTTTTAATACTGAGTTATCTCCCTTCTTCAGATGTGCAGTTAGTATAAGTTATTGACACAGTAAAATGGAATCATTGAGCCAAGTTCAAGTTCCATTCTGCTGCATTTTTTTTTGAAACAGTGCTCTTGGGAAAGGCATTAATTCTTCTAACCCCCTGCTCAGTTATGGGTTAAATAGCAAAGTAGATTGGACTCTAGCCTTGTCTTGCAACCACTCAATGCGAAGGAAAACTCTGAATTTCAGATCATGGGAAAGGCAAGAAGAAGCCACCCTACTGCTTTTCCCCTGGAAGTCATAACTCACAAATAATAAAGAAAAGGAACCTGGAGAGAGTAATTATTTAGCACATCCTAAAGAGATGTTATTTTTAGGGAGGGGTTATTATTTAACACCTCTTCTGTGTGTTTGCTTTCCCCCCCCCCCCACTTCTGTCTCATCATGTATTTATTGTATGAAGTCTATATGCAAAAGTAACAGTTATTATGGGACAAAGGTTGTACATTTTAAAAAAAACAGTGTCATCAGCATTGGCTTACCTGATTTTGATATTTGTTTTATTCATTTAGAAAGCATCTCAATTGTATCTGCATTGTGTCAATATTCTGATGAACTCTTTATTTATGTTTAAATATACATGTCTTTTGCCCCACTGTAATCCTGTTGATAGCAGCCAAAGTATTTTCTTTAGGATCTTTTGCTTATAACTTTCAGTAAATAAATAGCCTATTATGAACATGGTCTTATCAAGAAAACAATGCTTAATATATTACCAATGTAGTTTTGATATACCAAAAAAGTTTTTGTCTTTGCTTGCTTCCCTCCCTTCCTTTCCGCCGTGTTTGTTGCTTTATTGCTTATTCCAATTCCCCCCTGGCCCGATTCAATCCTTTTTTAAAGGCACACCTGCACAGATCATCTATTATCCTTAACCTTATGCACTATCATAGAAGCAATTGTCTGTTTCTTTTCAGTCTGGTCCATCATTGGACTGGCTGGCTTTCACACATATTTAACCACTTCAGAGCAGACAACCAATGAAGATGTGAGTTTTCATTCCTCATTCATTTCCACTTTTGCATATGTTATTTTCATTTCATTTCATTAAAGCTTCTCATTCTCTCTCTCTCTCTCGTATATTGCATGATAAATGCTTACCTATCTTGACAAAGTGATTGACAATAGCACCTATCATCGTTGTCGTCATTGTGGCTTTTTCTGCATTGTCTGCGCTTTGAGATGACTTTTTTTTTTTTATCTACACAGTTTGTCATTTTAAAAATGTTTTTTCTTTCCTTGGTTTGTATTTATATTTTCATATTTCATATCCTGAGATATCAATCAACTTCCTTTTGTGATAATTGCAAAATAGTTTTGATCTCTTTCTTTAGGTCATCATTGATGAAAGATTTTCCCTTGTGAAATCATTTTGATTTTCTCTTTTAGAATAATGATGGTTCTCAATTCCTCTTGGAGTTTAATATTTGGTTTATTATAATTTTAACAAGACTTATTTTAAGGAACAAATAGTTGGCATCCATTTATGTGTCTTATTTGGCCAAATTTTAGTTCTTTGAGACTGGAGTAACCTCTCCAAAGTGCAGGCCTGGGTGATGGTATATAGAAGCCATGTACTTCCCAGACAACTTCTCCTCCCTTAGCCATACTGAAAAGATCCAAAGGAATATTAGGCTTTATATTTGGAGCAGTCTTGTTTGCAGCAGTTTCCATAAGTTTGTCAGTGGGGGTGGGGGATGCCAATAGTCATTTATCTTTATTTTTTCTCAGCATATGTCCCTCCAAGAATGTCTTTTATTATTCCTAGGTCACATCACATTGAAACACTGGTTCCCATATGATCACCAAAGTTAAGCAACATCGAACCTTGTCAGTACCTAGGTAGGTGACCATTTGGGAATACCAGTTGGTGTGAGCTTGAATGTGTGGGTGGTTCATACCCTTTTGCCAAGGCTCTAAACCATCAGTTGTTTACAACTGCTTTCTCCGATCAATGTTTAAAAGGGGCTTCAAGTGAATTAAAACCTGTGGGTCTTAGTGATGACCATTCTTCTTTGAATCTTGTGGACTGTCATTACAGAAATTGGACCAAATAACAGAAACATTTGAAGACTTGGAACAACTAAAATGGATAGCACATGTAACTCATAGAGAGAATAACATCAAGATGCTGACATTCCACATGACTTCAAACAAAAGAAGGAAACCCCATCAATGCCGGAAAGAGCTATAATGGTGAACTTGTGAAATCTGTTTTCCTGAGAAATTGTTTTAATAGAAAGATTTTTATAAATTTCAACCAAATACAACACTGGATGCTCAGTCAATGAACACTGAATGTTTTTAGGAAACTGCTAATATTACCATTAGTACAAAATGAATATACAATCCCAGTCAGTTTGAACTCAGTTTGCCAACTCTATTCTCTCTTCTATTAAGCATTAAGTTACCCATGCTTCAGATTTTCTCTGTATAATAAAAGAAAATGCAACTACTAGTAAAGATATAGTTGTTACTTTTTACACAAATGGTAGTTAATGACATATCAACTATTTTGATTCTCTAAGTTCCCTTGAAAGAAGATTACATCATTTCATTGAAAAAATAAATTAAAAAAAAATGTTAAATATAAAGAGAAATTAATATTTTTTTTATGATATCAAATAAGTATTTATTATATGTGTGTTTTTCTTTACCTTTTAACCAATTTTCCTTTTTGTAATTTTTTTTTTTTTTTTTTTAATATTTATAGTTATCTCCATATTTTGTTTATTGGTCCTTTGGTGATGACATCTTTTCTGGTGACCATTTTCTTGGTCATCAGTCTTTTCTTAGGTAGTCAATCATTGGCTGCTATAAAATCACTGAAAATATCTACACTGAGGAAACTGAATTCAACAAAGAAATTAAAATGTGATGTTCGTTTGTTGGCATATAGTTGCTTATGTTAATGGTAACATCAGATTCTGCATTATCTGCATTGAAAGCCATTAGTCTTTCTACAAATATCAGTTATCACATTGCAATAGGTCAAATCCTTTGATCTGCCTCAGTAAGTAGTGGTCATGCTAATCAGTACTACACTTCATTCTGTAAAAGGAGAAAATTGGAATATATCCCCTCCCCAAACCAAATCCAGCTAATTCAGATTTAGTAGAAGCAAAAAGTTTGACCTTTACTTTTTACACTCTCGTTCCAATTCTATTTTTTCTTGCACTTCTATCTTGCCAGACACCTTTTAACATTTATTGATTCTTTTCTTGCATAAACATAGAATATTTAGTTTTTAAAAAAGTTACTTTAACAAAAAAGCATTAAATCAACTTAGTATTGCATAACTGTAGCAGATGCATTTTAAAATTATATATAAGATGAATATATGATATATTTTTAAACTGTTTTAAAAAATAACTATCTTTTTTAATCATTTCACCTGAAGCAAGGCAATAAAGCCACTAAGCTGCAAGGAGTCACTGAGTATGAAAGAAGAGAAAAAGAAACATTAAGATGAGAGAACAATAAAAGAACAGGAATTAAGATGGAAGATAATGATTGACATTGCATTTAAATTAGTTTAATCTATAGCTAATAATTTAACAATTAAGCAAAACTATACCAATTTTGTCAAAATCTTTTAAAAATTTACCCTGATTGACAATCTAATCAAAAGTAACCATTTTGACTGAAGTTAGCATTAAGAACATTTAGTTTACACTGACAGTAAAAAAAAAAAATATATTTTGGGGTAAAAATAGTATAATGAATATGTAACACCAAATAAATCTTTGATATTAAATATTAAGTATTTTTGAAAAACTTGTATCCTATGTTTTATTTTATTTTATTTTTTTTTTAAATTATTTAAATTGATTAACTTTTTATATTTCCAGAACAATATTACCATTAAAATTTCACATTATATCAGTTTTGTATGTATGTATATACACATATACACAGTGATTGTAAGTAAGAGTTCAGACATGCTGGCATTGTTCAAACTGCTGATCATGACATTATATGCACTCTCTCCCAGAGAATGTAACTTAAAGTCTGCTGACCATAGTTTCAACATAAACCACAGGTGAGCTCTGTGGGTGTTCAACAAACACAAATGTGCCTGAGTAGGTGTCTGTGACAGGGACAGGTTGGGTCAGAAGACAACAGTAGCTAGCCATAATATATATATATATATATATATATATATATATATATCAATTAGGAAAATATATTTTGATGTTTCACCACTCAAACATCAGAAAAAAAAACTGATTTTATTTCAACTAAATCTGCACTAGTAAGACATGATTTATGTTAATCATGTAAACACATGATCTATTTTTTTTTTAATTAGATTAGATACTAAATTCAACTCTGTTTTTGGTTACATATTAATTTGTTATAAGGTTTTTGTGCCCCCACATTATTTCAACCCCAGTTTAGTAAGAACCTTTCCCCTCTGCCTTTTCTATAAATATTTTCATGGTAATTGTTCTGATGAGCTTCTCTATTTGGTACCTAGACTTTGCCAATTTAATCACACTACTAGATTGGTATCCTTTTACAGTTTGAATGGCTGTGTAACCGCAAGTTCCATGCTAATAATTTCTTCTTTCACATTTCTCATAGTCAACTTTGATTTTCAAAAATTTACATGTATGTCAATTGTTATATTTTGTCATCTTAATTCTGTTTTTTTATTTTTTTTTATTTTTTTTTTTTATTATTCTTTCTAATGTTTTTCTTTTTCTCTTATTCTGCCACACTTGGTAACCCCTTGCATCTTAGTGGCTTTATTGTCTTGTTTGGGGGCGAAATGGTTAAAAAAAAATCAAAACAGGTGATAATCTAAAGCAGCCTGGTCATATATTAACCATGGTATTTGTAGATCATGGCTCAATGTGGGAAATGAGTTTTGAGCACAAAATCTGACCACAGATAAATAAAACTAGCTGGTGAGATTCTTGTAGTTGGCAATTCTATAGATTATGTGGTTGTACTGCATAAGATATATTAAAAAATCCCATCCTGGGTATGACAATAAACTACATCCAGCAGCAAGGCCTCTGATTGGGAGGTTTTGAGGGGCATGAAACCACCTCTTAATTACTGTTGTTCCCCACGTCCACCCTAACCCAGGGTGGTAGCGCCTGTTAGGATACAAACTCTAGGCAAATAGTTAACCTCCAAACTGGGGTCAAAACACTATGAAAGTATAAAAATACATCTTCATAGTAAAAATACCAGCAGTACATTTTTGTAAATGAAATTACTAATGCTCCCAAGAAAATTAAATTTTTGCATTGCGATGTCGATATGCCACTAAACAAACAAACCTCTTAAAAAAATTTCATCAGTCACTATTCTCATCAGGTGATTGTAACTTGGTAGTTACTTCAATATCTTTCTCCAAACACTAGCATAGCACAAGTCTCAATGGGAGGAAATGGAAGTAGGAATAATGTTATATTAATATTCTTATAGCTTTCACCTGGGCCAAGTAGTAAACATGTACCTGTATATGAATTCTTCTATTTAAAATCTTCAGTTATAGTTTTTGGAACACATGACATCACCATAAGGCTAGACAGTACATAGCCAAATTATCAGGGATCTGTGATAAGCAGACATGACATTAGCCGAGTTTGCCTATTAAGACATAAAGATGTTTGTTTTCAAAGATCAAACATTCTTTGTGAATTTTGTTTTATCTCTATTAGGAGAAAAAAGTGTATTTTGGGGTTTTAATGATTTGAACAATTATTTGAAAATTTAATTATACCTAATGTACTCCACTTCAGTCTCTGAATGATCGAAATAAAAGCCAATAATGACAGGCTGCTCAAGTAATGTGGTTCATTTTTCATCTTGCATCATTTTCATCTTGCATCATCACCATTTGTCAAAAAGAAAACATCTGGCAGAATTTAAACGTAAAAAAATCTGTCAAAAGAATTTTTTTTTATTCTCTTGATGCCATTATTGCCTTATACTACCCCAATATTTTTGGTTTTACGAAACATTTTTTTTAGAATTTTAATAATAAAATAACAAATACCAACTTTATAATATGGTAAGTAATATTATATTAATATAAGTAATAAACAAAAACCAACTTTATAATATAAGTAATATTTCATTATAGTTTAACATATTTTATCTTGTAAATATAAAATTATTGTTATTAGTGAACTATAAGCATAACTTTATTATCTTGTAAATAATTTATCGTTTTAGTTCACAATTTAAATCCTTTCTCTTATAAGAAAATTATTGTTCTCACATCTTTTTTATAATCTTGTAAATAAACAATTGAATCAATAATTAGTGCTTAACTTTTTGTAAGTTTGCAAGAAAAAAGTATAAATTCAGTTTCATATGTAATGATTTTCTTAAAATTCTAAAAATAGATTTTTTAAACAATTACTGAGTTAGTATACAGCAAGAGCATTGTAAAGGAAATAAGATCCTTTGGATATTGCTTTTATTTTTTTTTTGCCTTGCCTTGTCCAAAGTTAAAGTTGCCACACCTCCCCACCCCACCCCACCCCCAAAAAAAAGAGAGAGAGAAAAATCTGTCTCTGTATTCGCTGTTTTCATACACAAAAATAAAATCATGCTGTCATTTTATCAAATGTCTCTTTTTCTTTTTTTTTATTGTGTATATCAATGAATCATTTTAAATATATTTTGTGCCTTATATTAGGTTTCTTTCTCTTTAAAGTTGGTTAAATTTCACTTCCATCATCCCCCTGTCCATCACCCCCACCTGATTCTAAGGCAGTTAAGGAGTCTTTGTTGAGTCTGGCAATTAAACTTTCTGAAACTTAACCTTTAACATCCTGGAGGGGATTTTGTTTGCAAAACAAAAATTTTATCCTTCAGCTACAAGTGACTCACATGAATGAATGATAGCATGTTTGAAGTTTGCAATTGTGTTTTCATATCCTGCTATGGCAACAGAAAATGACTGAAATGAAGTAGTGCAGTAGAGGAGACTTGAAAAACAGTGCAGTGGAAATGAATGTAGGGAATAATGCAGTGTGTTAAAGGTTAATGCCACCTAAAAAATCAAACTTTGATAGTAAATTGACCATATTTTTGGTTTTGTTTCATGTGTAAACGTCCATCTTAGACTTTAAGTCAGCAGCCAACGTGATTGCATGGAAAGCAATCAAAGATATTTAGGAACTTTTTCTTTTTTTTCAATAAAATCCATTTTTATAAGCTCTATCTTTACCTCTAAACTTGCTTCACAAATCATTTTAATAATCTTAGACTTTAATGAGGGTACGAAAGAGAAAAACTGAATTTTATCAATCATGCAAAAATACAACCAGTAACTTTCAAAATGAAACATTTTTTCTCTCTCTCTCATTACCATTGAACCAACTTTTGGCTGGAATCTTGTCATTATTTTTCCAGTTTTCTTTGTGTTTCTCTCTCATTCCTTGTTGTTTGGATTCTATCAGTATGCTTGCTATGAAAAATTAGACTTAGTTTAAAACCAAATTAGAAAGCTTGTTTATCTCGAAGAGCTTGGTTTGTCTTTAGCCTTGTCTATTTGTTTTTTTACATTCAAATCGTATCACTTGCCTCATGTTAATCTTTCTCTTTGCTTTATCATGCCTCATTTTGTGGACACTCTTAAAACTTTGACAGCATTAAATCTTTTCAACGTTGTAAGAAAACAAATATTTAGAAAATAGAAAATTTTCAAGATTTTTTTAAATTCAGCAAATTTTGATACATTGATTTTGTGGTTTCATTGAAAATTTCCATATAAAATAACTAATCAAAGACTGATTTAAAGTTTCATAATGTTTCATGAAAACAAATCAGTTTTTGATAAATATACTAAACTTATCCTTTTTGTTATTTGTTAATTACTGCTCTTGATATTTTGTTTGTGAAATTTTAAGCAAGTCTTATCTGGATCCTGATGAGTAAAACATGAAAATTTGTTGGTCTACAATAAATATCTTGAACATTTCATATTTTAATTATTACTCTAGATATGTTAAACACTTTGACGAAATTCTGTCCACCTTGATATGTTTAAATTACATAATTTTATGCATACCAATGTGTTAAATAATTTGTACAGATTTAAACAACAGTTTGATTAGAAAATTTTAATTAAAAAGACATGAAATATTGTTTTCTGAACTCTGAAAAAGATGATTGATGCTGTTAATTTTTTTTTTTTTTTTTTTTTTTAGACACATCTGCAACTTTTATTTTATTTATTGGGTCATTTGGTTTGTAAGTGTGCCTTTGCCGTTTATGTCACAATACTTGTATGACTTTGTACGTGTGTGTATGTGACAAACAAGTTCTATTGTATCGTGGTTGTTGCTCCTTGACTTGCCTTACTATGGTTGAAGCTGTGATTTGTTTCTTTTCTGTATGGTCCGTTGTTGGTCTCACAGGCTTCCATACATACCTGGCAGCCTCAGAGCAGACCACAAATGAAGATGTAAGTACGTTAAACCTACATTTTAGGACCTTGTGTTTTTTGTTTGTGTTTTTTTTTTTTTGCCACAGGTTTTATTTGCTGATGAAATTTTCAACATCAGAGTTAATACTGTAAAAATGTTTCTATTCTTTTGCACATTTTGTACGTTTTTTTTTTTTTTTTTTTTTTTTTAAAGGCCTGGTCAAAATTTGTCTGATAATTCATTTAACTTTTCTTCCTCTCTGGTTCTTTAAACAGTCTAAAAAAACAAATAATAATAATAATTATTATTATTATTATTATAAGCTAATAATAAGTACAGCCTCGCCTCACTTAATGACCATGTTCCATTCCAAGGACCAGGTCGATAAGCAGATTGGTTGATAAGTGAGGAGCTATACTAATATTTCACATTTCCATGATATCAAGGATAATATGGCACCACTGCTGCCATTTATACAGCTCTAATAACATAATAAAGAAAAGGTTTAAAGAGAATAAAAACTCAATAACTTTGTTTTAATTTGCATAATCTTTACATTTTGTTAAAAAAAAAACAAGAAAATTATTGAGCAAAAGGCAACTCCAACTTGATAACTTTGACAAACAATGATTGATGATGATTGTAATTTTTAAAGTAAGATAAACTTTCAGTAGCCTAAATATTTTTATTTATTTATTTATTTATTTATTTTTTGTATGTCAGCTTTCACCTCATGTTTGTTGATGCTTTCTGGAAAAATTAAAAAATACTATAAAAAAAAATTGTTATATAACTGCTGAGTGAGATAAAATTTCATAAGAAAGGTACATAATAGTATAATTTTATGTACATTTATGAAATTTTAGGGTATTATTTTTATTTTTTCCAAATTAATGTTTGTCATTGCAAAAAAAAAATGCGCTAAAATTTGCTGTTATTTTAGTAGTCTCTCTGATGCAAAGAGAAACAAGTTTTTAATCAAAGCTTACAATGTTCTAAAAAGGATGGAAAAATTTAATAAAATAATTAAAAAATAATTTAGTCTTTCCTCTTAATAGTATCATAAACCTTTTGATGATAAAATTTTGTTTTCATAAAGTTTAAGCCCGTTTTTATCATGCTATGCTCATTTTTCAGTGATTTCATAAAGCTACCTACTATATCATAATGTATATGTTCATAGGTCATGTCGTAAGTCTGAGTGGTTGTTAAACATGTAAGTTGGTAAGTGAGGAGAGGCTGTATAGGCAAATAATTTCTGAACCACATGGAGAGAAATAATTTCTTTACTTTTTTGGATTAGCCAAAGAAGAATCTTGCTCGACGAAAATATAAAGCTGTCTGTTTTATATGATGTTAAATATTGATGTTATCAGGAAAAGAAAAAATTATATTTGGATTTCCTCTTTTCCTTCATGTATGACAGCAAGCTTTACTGTATGACTTTAAAACCTTTTTTCTTCCAAAAATTCAAGTGATAAATTTCTTGTTTTACTAACCTTGTATTGTTATTATTGTTTTAACTACTTTTGATTTTATTCTTTTTGCTATTTTTCACAATTCTCATGTCGACAGCAGGGGACCAGAAATAAAGAATTAATCTACAACTTGATTCCTTATCTTGAGGAGCTCGTGTGAAAGGTTATATACTTATAGAATGTGCTAAAAAGTGATGTTTGTGATTTTAAAATAACAAAAATAAAAAATAAAAATTCTCAATTGAAGAAAAATTGGTCAAAAGTTAATAACAATGTTTCTCTCCAGCAACTTAAAACTATGAATTATATCTGCTTGTGTTTCACAGAACTTGTATGCCTTTCTATGCTGTACTAAGACACTCCCACCATTTCACTTGATGCTCATCTAAGTACAACCACTGTGGATGAATGGGAGAATGATTAAACCATGTACAGATTAAGAAATAATGTTTATTAATTTCAGACAAATCTGAGTTTGTCTTAAATATTTATAAAAATTATGATTTAGGCATTTTTTTCTTTTTTGCATTTTAACTCATTGAGTTCTTATTAATAATTCCATTGCATGAAAAATATCAGGATATAAATAAGTTCTGAGCTGCTTCTTTTTCTTTAATTACACTATTGTTTACCAAATACAAGGCCCGAGAACAACTCAAGGTAGATGGTAAATAAATGATATTATTATAAAGTCATATAGGGAAGAAGCAAGATATGTATATTATGAGGATATGTAGGATATTTAATGATTGACTCTCAACTTAAGATTGTAGTGATCAAAAATGCATCCTCTCGAGTGCCCATTCCACAATGCAAAAATTTGAGTGGGACTTCCTACTTACCAATGGAATATGATAGGAATGAGGATGAATTGACTGTCTACATGACAATGCAGGTCCTAACTGTAAAGATTTGGACTGGTGTAACCAAGAAATGTAGTTTGCCTGAACATTTATATATTAAATATTTTATGTAAAAACAAAAAGGATCTAAAATAAGTTTTCACATAACTTATCAAAATTCATTTTAAGTTTAATAAAAATAAATGTTTTACTGAAGTACATTCTCTAGGAAAATAAATTGTAGAGTTTCTTCTTTCAAATTATAAACTAAAAGAAAAAAAAAAAAAACTGCTCTCTTATTGAGTTGATTTCTTGTTGAATATTCTTATTTTGAGGGGATGGTGGTGATTATTACGGTAAATCCAAAATAAAGTGCACCAAAGAGAATATAAACAAATTTTATAACCATTTCTTAAGTTACTGCCTTTTTGTTTCATATTTAGTATTCAACAAGATGTTTATGAATTTTAGCTAAATCTGGTACAAGGCCCCAATAATAGAGAATCCACTAGGTGTTGAATTTGCATGCAAAATTATCACTTTACAGCATGCACTTAGTCAAAATTGTATAAATATTTTTCAAAATATACATTTCTATAAGACTTAAATTTTAGTACATATGTATATAAAACAAAAATATATTTCCGCCTGTATATAACTCCTAATTAACCAGAACAGTGCATTGTATCATGAGGTGTTGAATTTAGGTACCCCTGAATTGTGGTAACTTAAGGAATTTAAAAAAAAACAAAAAAAAAAACAGGCTGATTTACAGCTGAATGATATTGTAGGATTTGCATTTGCAATCAAATGGGTTGGGATATTTCTTCAAGGGAGATAACTATTAAATGTTAATTACAGAATATTCCTTATTTACTCTTTTGCATAGGTGTAAAAAAAAAAAAAAATCCCACTAAAGCAACTCCTCTTGTACCTATTACACAGAAAGTAATGTATGCTGAAAGAGAATGAATTCAATGATAATCTCTTCTTTCTTTTTTTTTTTTTTTGTTTTTAATCATAATTTTCTCTCAAAGGTTGACCTTATTCTTCAAAGTTGTTTCAAACAATTTTGTATATTTTAATTTTTTTTAACAAGTTTTTTTTTAATCTTTTGTTTTTATTTTTTGCTGTTGTATTTTGTCCTTTTTCTAAAATTGACTGAATGCTTTCTTCCAGATAAAAGGTTCTTTCTCATCAAAGAGAGGCCAGGATAATTTTAACCCTTATAGCAGAGGGTCTATATTTAAAAATTGCCTTGTTGTTCTCTGTGGACCAAATCCTCCAAGGTCAGTTTCTTTCATTCCAAAATTCAAAGTTTTAAATGAAGCTTATATAAGTTTTTTTTTTTTTTTTTTTTTTTTTTTGTCATTATTTTGAAAAAGTTAATTAGGAAAAACATTTCGTGAATAGTTCTGGTCAAAATCTAGATAATTTCTCTATTGATTAAATTTAATAAAGTGAGTATAAAAACAAAATGAACATCTTTTTCACCCCCTTTAATCTTTTTCTTGAGTAACTATCTCAAGAGAAAATCAGCTTGATGTATCTGAAGTTGCAGATAGTTTGACAATATGATGCCTATGCAAAAACATCCTGGTTTTAAGTGATTAAAAAATTATGTTTAAATGTTTAATTTAAAAAAAAAAAATTTGAGTTATTAGAATCCTGTCACATTACAAGTCCCACAACCCATTAAGGTCATTGAGGTACCATACGCAGCCATAGTATCAGTGGGTGTGGCTAAGGTTAGTTAGTCTGACAGAACCTGTCCCTCATCAGGTTAGTTTTGAATTCAATTTCAACTGACTGATTGCTACTCAAAGTTTGCGTACCCTGTCTCTTTTTAGATAGATTCATGTCTTTTTAAGGGTATTTGTGTAAAAGTGAGCACAATGGCTTCGGCTGGAACTTGAGCTTGGCATCCAACTTCACGAACTAATAATTACCACACTATGCATCAACTATTATCAGAATATTCATTAAAAAATCTGTTACTTGCCTTCTGTCAGAGGGGAACAAAAGCATGCTGAAAAATTCTTGGCTTGACCCACTTTCTCCAAATACAAAACAACTGAATTTTTTAATCACTTCATACGTCTGTGCCGAGAAATTTTCAGCATCCCCAAGTATTGCTTTGAAAATTTCTTTAAATCAGGTCACAAAGTATTCTTATTAGCTTTATTTTTTTTATATTTACTAAGCTGAGCATAGTATAGAACAAGATCTCACATAATAGATTCCAAAAAGACTTCAACACCTGCAAAGCTCTTGCATGGGATATGTGTAACAAACGTCACAAAATTTGGTGCTTGAACCTTTCATCCTCCTTAAAAGTTCAAACTTTTCAAACATTGATTGAACCAGTCCTACACTATGGATCAGAAACTTGGACATTATCTGCTCTTAACACAATTTACAGAGAACTGAGATCAATCTCTCTTAAACAAAAATGATTACAGTTTGCAGGCCACTGCCACCAAGCGGACAGGGAAATTCTCATTTTCACTCCTATGGCATCCTTCTGGAAGTCTTTTCACAAAAATTGACTTTCCCAGACACCATAGCTCGGGACTCAGGTTTGGACATTGGGATCTGGGGACAGCAATACAGGACTGAACAGCGTGGAAAGGATTGTCAGTGAAGTTCCGACCAGTCATAGGGAGGCCGAAGGAAAAGGAGGAGGATGATAGCACAAGACGAGCTGCAAGTAGAAAAATTCTTACACCAATCTTGTTGGTGTATTTTTCATGAAAGTTTGCTTGCGTAGAAAGTCAGTATTCAAGATCCTGGCTTTTATCAGGGCTTAAACACTTCAGCTCCATCACTAGTGGTAAATACCTAACTATTTTTGCTACAAGGTCACACAGTTTACTAAGCACCCAATTTCATTTAACATTCAAATTGTTTACTCTGGGTTATTTTTGGTAAATAAAATTCAAAAAATACAAATTTCGCAAAGCGCATTCAAAGATTAAATTATGTTCCAGTTAAATTCATGGCGTGCAGAAATAATGTTTTTGCAACTGAAAATAATTCCAAAAGATGGCTTCGTTTGTCGTATATTGTGAAACGTAGTAAATTATCTCCCTTACTTATCCAGTTGAAATACTGTGATGTTTTCATTGCTTACCTCCCTTGAATTTTTACTTGATTTTTTGCATTGAATTTCAGTTTAATTGACAGACGAGGTTATGTTGTCCCTGATAGTTCTCAGATCCATAGTGACAGTTCAAACAGCTGTGTAAAGGAAAGCAACTCTGTTAATGTTAAACATGAATATTATGGTTCTACTACAGTCACAGAACAGAAGGTAATTTCTTTTATTTTTCATTTATTTCCATGAGAAAAGTTGGAAATATTCTCAACATGTAATTTCGAATAAGTATATTTTGAATTATTAACCTTTTATGATTTATATTTTCATTAAAACTCCTGGTTTAGTATATCTTTTCTTTTAATGGAACACAGTAAGTCATTTAAGAATTGATTTAATATTGAGATACATTAGGAAGCACTCGGTGACTATCAGACTGGTTATACAGTTTTATACTAATGCATTAATATTAATTTTATCACTGTTTTGGGTGACTGGTTCTTGAATTGAAAAAAGTTTTCAGTTTAATAAAAAGAAACCAATTTTTTTTCATGATTTTACAATAAAAGACCTTTGTAAAATGAAATAGTTTCAAACACTGGAAATGTGTTTGATAAATGAATTGTAAGAGTTAGCACACTAAAATTAGTTCACATCATTTTTCACGAATGGAAAGGGGGAGCAACTGATTTTTTATGGGAGGGCTTGGGGATAGACTTGTTCGTCTATTGCATTGTGATTATTATTCAATCAGCAGAGGCATGCTGGGTTCATAACCTTTGGGGTGAGTAGCCATGGTCAGATGCAAAATAAATAACAACTGCTCAACAAACAGAATTGACAAGTTCCTAATAAGCAAGAAAAAAGAAAAGAACAGGGCAAAAAAATAATATAAAGCAAGCAAACAATATAAGCAAGACAAATTAACAGTAATAAGGCAAAAAGTTTACAAACTAAGAATTGGGATTGACACAAGAGCAAGTTCGGGTAAGCAAACATAGCATTCTGACTTCAAGACAAACCAGATCTGAGTTAGATGAAACTGTGAACTTGTATATTTTATTGACTAAGAAGAAATCCCAGCATGCATTTGTATACTTCTGCCTATAAATTGTGGAGAGGCAAGTGTTTTGCAGTCATTCCAAGTAGTATTGATGGGGTGTTTTGTAGGTCCCTTTTGAATATGTAGTACATGTGAGATTGGGAAGTGATGGTTAAGTTCTTGTGGTGATTGAGTATATTGTATTGAATGAATGGGTCATGATTGTGATTAACTAAGATAGTTATTAAGTACCAGCTTTTCCCCACTTCCCCTTTGGCTTTGTGCTATTTTTTTTTTTTTCTTGTATATTTTAATTTTTTTATATTTTTATTTTACATTTTTAATTTTCTGTATTTTTTTCTACATTTTCTCTGTTTTTTTTTTCTACATTTTCTGTTTTTTTTCTTTTTTTTTTCTTTTTTGTTTTCTTTTTTTCTTTTTGTTTTCTTTCGACATTTTCTCTTTTTGTTTTCTTTCGACATTTTCTCTTTTTGTTTTCTTTCGACATTTTCTCTTTTTGTTTTCTTTCGACATTTTCTCTTTTTGTTTTCTTTCGACATTTTCTCTTTTTGTTTTCTTTCGACATTTTCTCTTACTCTTCTCCTCATTATTTGTGAGTTGCAGTTTAAGTCTTGCAAATAAGGTGACTTTAACTGATTTCATACATTTCTTTTTGTAGTGTAGTCTGGTATGTTACATTTATTATTATCTTATAAAATAAGTTGTATTTTGATTTTTAAATTATATGTATTTTCTTTTTCCAGACCAATAACAAAGGTACAAATACCGCACAAGATGGAGACTGCACCAAGACAAATGGTCGCTTGGATAATGAGCTGGTAACCAAACATGACATGATCAGCTACCAGTCTCCAGACGGACGAATCAACAATCGCTTGCCACCTATTAATGGTGAGCTCTTTGAGATTTTGTGATAATCATTTTCATTTGCTTTTATATATAAAATATACAAATTCTTTTAAAATAAATTGGAGGAAGGAAGGATTTTAAAAAGAAAATTCTTAAAGAATGTACATTTTTTTTTTTTTTTATAATCATCCTTATTTTAATTTCATCTTTATAACATTTGGTTGTAAATTAAGACAGACAAAAAAACAAGGAAAAAAAAAACTGACTTTTACTTTCTCTATTTTATTACCTACAGATGGTTGTATGTATTTTTCCATTTTACTTGTATTGTGAATTGTTGCTATCCATCTCTCTCTCTCTCTATCTCTCTTTGAAATTTTGAAACATCCAAGAAAGATCATACTAGAAGAGTAAAGAGTTTTTTGTATTTTTTTCTCCCGCTTGTTTTAAAATGTTGCCAGAACTTGAATTAGTCACTGCTTGATGACTTAAAATTTATTATTTAGATTTTTTTAAAAAAATGCAAGTTCTGTTTGCCTGCATTTGATATTCAATTTGTGATGTGTAGTCCTGTGCAGACTCCTGGCAAATTAGCTGTACCTTTTTCTTCTGGTCATTGTTTAAGAAAAAAATATAAATCTATCTTTCACTGTTTAAGACAAGGATATTTACTTCATATTTTGGTATATAGAAAACAATTTACCTTCAACTTAATCTTTCTCTTAGTTTAAAAATTCCAATTGGCTATATATAATAGTTTCACATAGCTAACAAGAATATTAAAGAAAATAATTTAAAAGAATTTAATAACCACAACATTTAAGTCATTAAAGTTGTTTTTTGGTTTTAATGAAATTTATACATGTATAAATAATTTCGACATTGATAGACACTCAATCCTGTCTATACTAATTCTTGTATATTTTTTTAAATCGGCAAAGTCAGATAAAATAATAAATATATATATGTTACTTTATTATATATATTAGTTACTTTGTAAATTATTTATATTTTCAGGTATCCTTTTAAAGATGTGATTTTCTTTTTAAATTTCTTTATTTTCAATTAAAGTCTGATTAATTTTCCTTTACTATAGTCTCAATAATTTGATAAATTTTCTATTCTCCAAATACATAAATAACCTTGATGTAAACAGGGAAATTAGAAAAATCCTTTCTGTAACATTGACCTTTTTTTTTTTTCTTTTTTTTTTTCCATTTACTTTCATTTACTTTCATTTAGAATCTTCTTTCAAAAAACAAGACAAAAAAAATCCCCAAAACACTCGTCTTTTTTTTTTCCTCATTATTCTATGAGTGTGGTGAAATTTGTATTGCATTCATTTTAGTACAAATTTTTAGTCCCCTCTTTCTAGTTATTTTGTTAGTGTTAAATTCATGCTATGTAAATGTTCTCTTTTACTTTTTTTTTTTTTTTTTTTTTTTTTTTTTTTACTTTTTCAATTTTGAGTCTTTCTTTCTATTCTTCTGTAAATCATTATTTGAATAACAATTGACTACATTTGATTGCACTTCCAACTCTACCCGTTTGACCCCTAATTATGTAATTTAACCCATGATGCCTCATTGTCATTGAATCCAAATTCATATGTTAAAACATCTTCTAGAGTTAGAAAATGACAAATTTCTTAAACTTCAGGTAAAGCTAAAATCTACTGTCTACAGAAAGTTCAACTTTCTTAAAACTTAAGAGACTTTCCATTTTTGTAAATTATCAGATTTAGTTTTTAAATTTAAAATTTTTTTAAATCCTTAAAAAATTAAATTTTCTGTTTGCCAAATAATTAAAAGTATTGTACATGTAGAAAACTGCAGTAAAGAAAAAAAATTTCACTTGGGGAAACTAGTTACACCTTTCATTACTGTCCTATTTTCAACTTTGTCACTAACAAATGGTCAGTGTAAATTTTGAAATTATTTAAATTATTGACTGTGCTCTATTTTAAAATATTGATTTAATATAAAAAAAAAGGCAATAGAAACTTTAATCTCTCAATTTTGAAGTTTCAACTTTAAGAGAAATGAAAGTTTTATCTTGAAATTGTATATATATTCTAAATATTCACACAGATATCTCTGAATAATATCTAAAAACTAATGTAAATATATTGTTTAATCTTATTTAATTCATCCAAGTTTCCTTCCTCTATTGCAGCAAGTTTTCCAACTACAAATATTGGTTGTAATCTTTCAGTATTATAAATTTGAGGTTAGTGGACATTACGAAAGCATCCTCAATGATCCTCAAAAGATTTCTGCTCTCTCTGACCTTTCAACAATATTGATTCTGTTACAGTTAACACCTAATTAGGTTTCTTCATTCAATTAAGAAATATATAAAATCACTTAGTATTTGGATAATACCAATGTCCATCCATTAATTCTTGTTGTTCATGTTTTACAAACATTGCACCCAAATGACTTTTGAGCAACTCTGCATAGGGTAATGGCTAACAAGGTAATTTGGTGGGTCATTACTACAATGTAATGAGTTTGGGTGCTCCATACTCCTGGCCTTGTGTCAAACTAAGCTAAACTGAGCAAAATAAGTTGATCTGTATTTAATAATAACTTGTCAATTTATGCTCCCTTACATGTTCAGTTTTATTACCGCTGTGTATTGCCATTGCTTCTTAGCTTGGCCAAATCAAAGAAACTTTGTCAGAAGTGTATTATGATTATTAAACTCTTTGTCCAATTTTGAAAATTGAACTATGAAGCTTGCAGTTTTCAGATTCTTCTTTTCTTTTCTTTTTTTTTTTACTCTCTCTGTTACCCTCCGTTCTCCCTCCTCTCTTCTCTTCCCCTCCAGCTTTCCTCTCCTCCCGCTTTCCTTCCCCGCACACCCGCCTTTGTTCACTCCCCTCCTGCTTTGCTCTCTCTTCCCCCTCTCTCTCTTCCCCCTCTCTCTCTCCCCCTCTCTCTCCCCCCTCTCTCTCTCTTCCCCCTCTCTCTCTTCCCCTCTCTCTCTTCCCCCTCTCTCTCTCTTCCCCTCTCTCTCTCTCCCCTCTCTCTCTCTTCCCCCTCTCTCTCTTCCCCTCTCTCTCTTTCCCCCTCTCTTTTCCCCTCTTTTTTTCCCCTCTCTTTTCCCCCTCTCTCTCTTCCCTTTCTCTCTCCCTCCTCTCTTTCCCTTCCCTCTCTTTCCCCTTCCCTCTCTTTCCCTTTCCCTCTCTTTCCCTCTCTTTCCCTTTCCCTCTCCCCTCTCTCTCCCCCTCTCTTCCCCTCTCTCGCTCTTTCTCCTCTCTCTTCCCGCTTTCCTCTCTTTTTCTCCTTTTTTTTTTCTCCTTCCTTTATAGTTGCTAGACTTTTATTTATTTGCTATGCCAGTTGTATGATTATATTCAGACTTGTTCTTAAATATGAAGAAAACTTTGTCATTGCAAATTACATAAATTTTTCATGAATCTTTTCTCTCAACTGACACATCTAAAGTATTAAAGATTTAAGTCATTTGCTTATATTCAATAATCAAACTGCTTGTTTTTAAACCAGTTAGATTTTAACCTCTTGACCTTCAGATATATCCACAACATTTCTTGTGCTGTAAACAATATAGATGTACTTTTTTTTTTTTTTTTTTTTTTAATCTCATCCACTGTGGAATTCACAAAAAAGTTGAGCCAAAAATACATTGAAACTTTTCTCTTGGGGTGTGGGTACACATCTTTGTTTAAAGCTGTTTCAACCTTTCCATTAAATGAAATGCTGTGAATTATCAGTATGTTAGGAGTTTTATTTACATTATACCTGTCTGAACCCTGAAATATTGACCTTTGCAGATTGAAAGAGTTAATGGAATTTTACGAAATTTTATATTAAAATCTCTTTATGGTTTATATACTGATTAACTGTGAATAGCAGCTTCATCTCAATTGTTATCAGCACAATATTTCAATTGTTATACTCTCTGGCCTTCTTCAGACATTTGTTATAGCTGGTAATCCTCTGGAAATTTCAAAACCCATTCTTTACTCAATCTATCAGAATAGATTGTTTACATATGTAGTTATATCAGGATATTATAAGGGTGTTTCATTAAGACGGATCAAAGTCAGCCGTAAATAAATCAGTGTTATTGGTGAAAATTTATTTATTTTTCTATTGGATCATGTTATCTAAGTCATGGCAATTATGTGTGAAAAATAATATTGTCCAAATGTCCACCAAATCTGAAAGAAAAAGAAAAAAATCATTAGATGCTTAAACTTAATTCACATTTAAAATCAGTCCAAGTTATTGGAACACCCTTTATTTTTTAATACCCCATATCTCTTCCACTGAACCAGAGTACATGTCTTTTTATACTACTTAACCCAGGTATTTACCTGGTAACACTACCTGTTTGACTGGCATTTTATCATCGGGTTCAAACTCCTCCCCAGTCTTTTTAACAGCAATAGAGCTTTATTTCTTGCTTCCTGTTTAGGATTGAATTTCCGGTTGCTTCTAAGGTCTTTTCACTTGCTTTCACTCCTGTTACCCCCTGACATTATCACCTTGCTTGTAGTGAATTGATTAAAAGGAAAAGAAAAAAAAGTGTGTACACCATAGGATAATCTACCCCTGTGACTTGAATTCACTTTGGAAATTCCCAGATTATTAATCTATGGCAGACACCTGAAGGACATTTGTCTTAGTTCAGTGTACTTGAAAACAGACAAACTTTTTTTTTTTTTTTTTTTTTTTTTTTTAGTTAAATGAAGTGCAAAAAAAATGTCAGTTGTTATTCAAAGTTGTTTTTTTGTTTTTTTTTAAATGTTTTTATTCATTTTTTTCTTGCAAGTGAATTGTTGTTTGTACTCTTTTGTGCTTTTGATAATAAAAGCTGAAGACAATTTCTGCATCACTCTTTGAAAAAAAAAATTGTTTCTAACCAATTCATTAATCATAAAAAAATTCCATTCTTCTATATTTGCATGTTTTATTTTTTTTATTCACCCCCACCCCCTGTTAATACCTGTCTGAGAAACGGGAGGATTTATTTTAGGTGCCATCCTCATTTTTTCATTATATTTGTTTCTTGTCATCTTTAAGTGGCATAATTTTCACTTTGAAGAATGAAACTAAATTCTCTTGTTAGTTGTTATTTCTTCATGGTAAGCAGAAAAAAAAAAATTGACCAGCAAATTTAAGAAAAAAGTTTGATTCAAGGTTACAGATTGAGATAGATATATATATATATATATATATATAAGTGCCAATGATAAAGATGAGGACATTGACCTGAATAAATCTTAAATATTAAGTTTTTCAATTGGTTTGTAAGCAGGATTTATTTTAAAGAAGTTTTTTTTTAGTAACTGCAGATTTTAGTATTAGTACAAAACTCCAGGCTGTACACAAATTGAATTGTCCCATCAAGCATGTTAATTTGTTGGCAAATCCACTCAGTTTATTAAATTGAAAATGCAGGGAGTTGATCCAAAATTTAAACTTTGTTTTGGTTGCTTGAGACTCTCACTCCAGTCAACAAAAAAAAAGCTGGTCTTTACAATTGTTCAAGTATCTTTAAAACAGATAAACCAAAAGATTTCTTTAAAACAAAATTTGGTGTCATCCTGTTTCCATTTTCAACAAAGTTGTTTGGCACTTTCTCAAAGGTTTTTTTCTTATTACCCTGGGATGCAATTTTCTCTAGACTAATTTCTTTGTTATTGTTACTTGTCTTTTCTGGCCTTGTGACAACTACTTGAACTTTGTATGAACTATCATCTCCATGGGTGCTAAGTTTATAGATTGCTGTTTTTTCATTAATGGTATCCATATGCTACTACTGGTATGTCCAAGCAGAGTATGTGGGTATGGTGTCTGCTGGAGACTAGATGAGCATGCCTGGAACACAATGGACCACTGACAAAATATTGGAGTGTGGATCATTGAAGCATTGAAAAAAACAAAACAACAAAAACAAGGAAATTAGTCCAAAGCAAATTATATGCTATGTTTAAAAAATATCAATCTAACAAAATTCAATTTTTCTTTGTTTCGTTTTATATTAGTTTGTATTTGACTTGATTTTGTTAGAACAATTCCCAAATATTTTTCATCTAATTTGTCTGAGATACAGTTTAATTGGTGCATTAGATTATTGGAGTAGCTCTACTGATCTATAGGCAATGTGTCCAATTATAAAATAGACTTGGCTATCAACATTTCCTTGTAGAGATTTTTCCAGTTATCTGTAATAAGAGTTTACTGTTACTTGATGATGTGGAGATTTTGTCTTCAGTGAAAGAATCCATCTAATGTTGTGCATTGAAATAAAATAGTTTGAATCTAGTAAGTTTTGGAGATACCATCAGTGACATGACAGTGTCTAAGTCTTGTCTGTTGCTAATTGGCAATTTCCTACCCCATCTTAATGATGCTTTTAATAAGCTTCCAGTATTGTAACCATTCTCTGTAATAACGATAGCCAATCAGAAGTTATGTAACCTTTTATTTTCCAAGGTTTCTATGGCCACAGTGGTCTGTCTTTTACCAATTCTTAATTAGCCTTACTGTTCTGATTTTGTTTGGAGTACTCAATGATTGATCTATAAAGTCTTTAGTCTATTTGTTGTTTTAGACAATTTTTCAGCTGATACATTCTTCTACCTTTTTCAAGTAGATCTTGCATCTGGCCTATAAAATTTGATTCATATTTCTAAAGACTGGATGAAGGCTAATGTATCCATCAAAATATTGTGTTAAAGACACTGCTGCTGCTAAATCACATGCCATGAAGACACTGAGCCCACAAGAGCTACCTTGTCAGTCCAGCAATCAGTCTTGGCAGAGTGTTGGAACATCCTCCAGCTTAACCTGTTGGAGGTCCTGGTGGACAATATCCTTCCAACAGTTACATGGTCTGTCACCAGTTTGCAGATGGCAGTTAGAACTGACAAATGTCTTTGGTAGGATGGTCATCAGGTCATTACAGGACATGATCAACCCAGAGCTGATGAATGTTCGGCTGGCCAGTTTGCTGGTCGAGCTCCTTATTGGACATAAGATCAAATCTATTCACTCTCCTGATGGCCCTTGTTAAAGATACACACACACACACACACACTGGCTTATGGCCACATCATGTTGAACCACCAGTTCCCATACAATCACCAGAGTTAAGCAATGTTGAGCCTGGTCAGTACCTAGATGGGTAACTGTTTGGGAATACCAGGTGCTCTAAGCTTGGATGTGTGGGTGGCATAATAGATAATTGCTCAGAATTGTTAATCACAAAGTCAACTTCCAATTCCAGTTGGGTTTGTTATATTCACTTATGCACAAATACCCTTAGGAAAGATATGGCCCCACCCCTATGGGTTAATTAGTAAGACTTGTATCGCTAAAACATTATTCCCCCCCCCCCCCCGAAAAAAAGTAAAAATAAAATTGCATACAAAATATTCAGATTTTGGTATTAAGCAACCCACAGAGGTTGATGTGATGCTAACCAACCAACCAACACACAAAAATTGCCTTTTGCCTTTTTGTGTGTTAAAGACATGCAAACAAACAAAAAAAAAGATAATAGTTTGAAAAATAAGCAAAACAATGCCCTCTACTACACCTCAGAACTTTTAAATATTCTTATGAAGGATTGAACTTAGACTTTTAGAATTTCCATTCCTATGCTCAAATCATTTCCGATATTGATATGAAAAAAATGTTTAGCGTTTTGTTTCTATCATTTCATTTTGTTGATTTGTCCCGTTTGTAAAGCCTAATCAAAATGAGGAGGCATGATGGAGTAATGGATAGTGGCTTGGATTGAGGAATTGAAGAGCCGTGTTCAAATTCCAGTTGAATCCATTACATTCACTTATGTGCTAATACCATTGGGAAAGGTATTAATCCTCTTCTTCTCCCCCCAGCTATGGGTAAGTAGCAGGATAGACTGGGTTCTATAACCTTGGATGGTAACTGGTCTACCACAGAAAGAAATGGCAACTTACTGTGGGAAAAAATCTGCCTCGTCAGTCATGTATCGAAAGATACATGATCGCCTAAGCATGTATTACACATGGCACATAACTGACTGGTTGAATCAAAATAAAGTTTGTCTATAAAACTTTTTTTTTTTTTAAACCTGTTGATACAAAAACCTTTTTCTCTTGTAAAAATGAAACTCTTTAACTCATAAAATAATTTTTTTCCTTTAAATTAATACTTGGTTTTAATTCAATAGATCCATAGCCTCTATGACTGTTAGTGTATTTTTGAGATGAGATATCAGTTATGTCATTTCTAATCTTTTATAGAATAATCTTGTCTATTGGGATTTCCTATATATGATTAGTGTTTATGGGATTATAGTGATGGAGACTTACACTTCATCACACTCACTTTGTTTCTTGTCTGTCCTCATGCCTATGTCTCTCCATATTCCCTTTCTCTCCCCTGGTGGCAGGGGCAGAGATGGCTGTGAATCAGAGTTTCAGGAGGCCATTTGTGTGAATTTGATTTTGGTGGACAACTCCACATGACTGAGAAGCCCACACACTTGGCCAGAAATGCCTCCCTCGTGGCACAAAGGGGAGTGAGACAGTGATCCCAAGAGATTACTATACATAGAGAATGGATAAGATTTATATCAGGCCTGCACGAAATATCATCTAGTGTGACCCATGAGGGTTTTTTTTTTTTTTTTTTTAAATAGTAAATCTTTTATGGTCATTAAAATAAATTCATTGACTGGTTGCATACAATAAATTCAGTTTTGTAGAAGCATTTGATTCAGTCCAGATTTCACCCATTATCTTTGCATCTAACAAATTCATAGAAAAAGAATTTTCTTGCCATCTCCCTTTGTATATATCTGTTTATAGCTCACTCATACTACAAAATTTTACTCTTGCAGCTCTCTGCTAATTTTCCGTGATCAATATGGCTCTACAGTTTCCAATTGTGTAGGCCTGATTTATATCTTTCCCAGAGGCCTTCATGCAAAAAGTTACAACAGCACTTAGAAAATCTGAGCTTTCTTTGCTGATTTTAATTTCTTTTTTGAATTTAATTCCTACTTGTTACCAAATCTCTCTCCAACTTGCAATTGCAAATTGTTTTTTTTTTTTTTTTTTTTTTTTTAAATTAGTTGCTGCAATTACAGTATTCTTGTGTCAACAATAACTTTGTCAAGATTGAACAGTCAAAAACTTGAAGACCAGTATATCCCTAATAAAACAAAAATTTGCAAAAGCCAAAATATACTTCCTGAAATTAAAAAGGGAATTTGGTTTCTTTTTTAGTTTTCTTTCAATTTTTGTATAAGTTTGTTTTCTGAATGTTTACAATGTAATTAACTTACAATTAGTAGAATACATGACAATACTTTGACTGGTCTATTCATAGAAAATAGGGAAAATTTTTATTTTTCTCGATGAATAATTTTTATAGATTAACATTTATTAGGCATTTCTCAAGCTATGACGTGTGTCAGAATTAAAAAAAATACTGATTTAGTAGTCAGGGTCTTGTTTATTATATTGGTACAGTGTAAAAGCAATCACTGACTTTTTAAGGGTGACTGGACTTAGCTGTTATTTCAAAACTGTGCTTAAGTTGTTGATATTTGCATATTTTTTGTATTTGTAATATTTTTTTTCTTAACATCTTTAAACTTTTTGTGGGGTCAGAGGGTCAGAAGCACATTCACAAACATTAGGGGTTAATAATTATTTATCATAGATAAAGAACAAACTGATATATATTTTTTTATTAATTTATGTAACTTTTTGTTCTTTAATAAAAAAAAAAAAATTCTATATATCTGTTTGTTCTTTATTTAAAAGAAATTGTGTTAAAAAACAGTTTTTTGTATGCAGAACAACTACGTACCCTAACTCTGTAAAGTCAGGGATCAATTTTACATTATATCGATAAACAAAACCCCATGTAAAATAATAAAAAGCATGAATATTTTTATTCTGATGTCTTAGCTTGAAAATGTCTAATAAATGTTATTCTACAAAAATTACCCACCATGTCTAAAAAAAGAAAATGTTTTCCCTATGTTTTTAGGAGTAGAAAAAGTGTTCTTAGAAATACTTAATGCTGAATAGACTTTTTCTTCTTTTTTTATTTTTGTAGTGGGTGGAGATGCATCAGAATCAGATTGATAGTGAAGGTTTCTTTCATAAGAAAGTTATGTTTAGATGTGGCTTTTGTAATTAGTCTCTAGTTACATTTAACTCCACCTTTTCAGGTCTCGGCTAACAACAAAGATAACCTATCTGTACTAATATAAGAACTGTAACTTTATCATTTTTACTTTGAACCTTTTCCTATACATTGTTATATAAAACATATATATTGCAACATTTTTATAGCTATCTTCTTCTCCTGAATATTTAATTGATGAGGTGTTAAAATTTGTCACAAAATTGACTAAATATAAAGGCATTTTAAAACTCCACTAAACTTGAATATCTCAGAAATCCAAAATATTAGTTAATTTTTTTTTAATGAATAGTTAAAATAGTTTTCTGTTTTTGTAAAATTAAATTTTTCAAAAAAATATTTCTTTTTGTAAAATTTAAATTTTGAAATAGAATGCTGTACTTTTTGTATTAACATCAAATGCTAAATTGTCCTTCATTTTTCCTTTACCACATTCAATTCTTGCAGAATAGACAAGTTTTAACATTTTAAAACCTAAAATAATTTGCTTTTTAAGTACCATTTTTAGCTCAAAAGTTTATTTCTTAGAAATTTTATGCTAAAAGAAAACTATAACCTTAAGGATCAATTTCCCTGATTTCCCAGATAAGTCAAGCTTTTATTAATAGTCTCTTTCTTTGTATGTGTGTGGGGGGAAGATATGTATACTAATGTAAAAGTGTCCAGTTTACAGTCTGTGACATTTAATATTCTACAAAGTAATATTGGTAGTAAATTTAAGTGTGTTTTATGTTTAGATAACAGCTTGGAAAATGCAAAAAAAAAATTATTAATAATTCTCTCTTGTACACACATACAAAGTGAAATGTGCTAAAATATCTGGAAAAAAAAAGAACAATTTCAAAATAAAAGGTTTTTATTATTGATTCCTGACAATATCTACTTTTTTCTATGATCTAAATCATTGTTTCATCATTTCTAATAAAAGTTGATATTTTGCTTTTTCTCATATTTTTAAAAAATTTTCTTTTTTAACCATTAATTTAAATTAACAGTAAATAAGTTCAAATCCCATTGGAAGTAGTTTTTTAAATTTTTAAATGTTTCAAAGAATTTAATATAATTTTAATTAATATTTAAAATTTTTTTTTTTTTTTTTCCCTGACCAAAAATTTATGCAAAGTTGTCATATTGTATCATCTACAAATTTTTGTATTTAAATTTGTTTTGGCTTAATGAAATTTTGCTCCACAGCTCTTTGTATAATAACTATTTTCTTTTCTTTTTCTTTTAATCATAATTTTTAGTCAACTTTTAAAAGATACTGACGACTTTTGCACCTGTTTTTTCCTCATCTGAAAAATTTTACCCTTATTTTTTTTTATTTTTATTTTTTTTTTTGTTTAAGCTGATAACTTGGACAATTTAAACAAAACAAACCTTTTTATATTTTTGTCTACTTTCTGCCTGTATTGATCTCTGCTTCTCTACATTGACGTGTGACCAACTTCTCTTTTCTTGTGCTTGTTCTTTAAATACCAATTATTTGGGCACTTCAGGTACAAAGAATTTCTTGTGGGACATGACCCTTAACCAACTTAAGTTCAAGGGTAAGTGGACTACCCTCACCTATGTAGTAATATGGTCTGGAACCACTCCATCAGGCTTATTCAGTTGGAATGCCTTTTCAGTTAATGTTTTGCATACAGCTCCTTTTTCATCTTTTCATTATTGTACTCCTCATTTTAGTGTGAGTGTGTGCAGGAGTTATTCCCCTTGTCCAGTTGCTCTTCTATATTTCTTGCTCTGTTGTCAAGATGTGTGCACCAAAAGGCTAAGATATTTCAGGTGTATTTTGGATAAATGGACAATATCCCTGTTTATTCTGAGGATAGTAATGCTGGTTTTATGCAGGTTGAGATGTAGACAAATCTACCCAATTTTAATTTTTTTTCATTTACTATTTCGGTTTTTTTTTTTTTTTTTTTTTTTTTTAAGTTGTTTGTGATCACAGAAAAATGAGAAAGTTCCAAACACAATTGAATTTTTCTTTATTTTTAACA